TAAGTTTAGATATTAGTTAATAAAATATTTTCCTTCGACTTTTATCTTATAATTTGAGAATAATTTAATTTATTTGATTTTTAGCTAAAAAGTTATATAATTTTAATTTTATAGTTTATGTAGACGTCGTACTGCGATGCTGCTATTTCCGACTATGTACCGTATGAGATTCGGGTGACTAATGCGCTCGTGTACATCGTGTTAGTCTCGATGATCTTGTATGAGATAGTCGAGTGGCATCCTACCGAGCAAGTCCTTTGATAAATTAACTGTGTCCAATCGATTCCGCCACATCTACCTTGCTTGGATGAGTTGCATCGACTGACACGACAAGAGAGGACAAAAATTAATTGGGCAGACCATAATGTGGTGTATCCAAACAAGTGGGTTCAAAGATTCGAGAAGACGCCCATGACTCAACCTATCTTTGACAACAACGTGACATACGATTATATGCGGTGGTAAAAAAAATATGGGATGCCACATATATTGAGCGATGAGAAGCGAGTGCAAAAGTTATATGTTCCTTCATAGAGTCGGCCTCGGTTGGGGAGACAACTTGTAAGAGTCAAGGCAGAGAATAATAAGACAACAATGTGTATTCTCCTCATCGCTAACAACACAGGGACCTCCTCAGACATCGCTAACACACCCTGACCCTGTCTTCACCCACTCGACTCAATCAACATTTCAGCAAATGGAGTAGTTCTCAAAAGGTTTCTTCACCGAACATCTTTGACCAGTTGAATTCACCACCGACACAATTGATAGCTAACTTTGGATCTAGTATTGTTGACCAGACATCATCACAGAGCATATTCTACATCGGTCCCGATTCTAGTACCAGTGGTGGATCAATTTCATATACAACTGCTGGTCCTAATGATGATGATATTGCTGAAAGAAAGAGGAACTGCACTTACGTCCACGTCGGACTCGTCGCCTACCACGATGCGAAACTGGTGGACATAAGCATTATTAGTTGTTATTTATTGCGTTATTCAAAACTGAAATATTTGTACTAAATTAAAATTTGAAATATTTGTACCAAACTATTTTATTTTGAGTTAATCAAAATATTTTCAATGAAAATTGTACCCTACATCTCGCGATATCTATAGTACGTTAGCATAACCATGTATCTTGCAAAACGCGAGATATCAGGATCTCACACCCTGCAACCCGCGTTATTTGGAATCGCATCTTCCAACCCGCGAGATTCTTAAAATAAAAAACATTAATTCAATATTATTAGGCAACAACTCAGCTAAAATGTCAAGGAGAGAAAACCTTACTACTTTGGTATCTTACGATGGTGAAATGATCGGTGATGAATCTTTCGGTGTCTTGTTTCAGTCCACACACGCAGTGATAACAATGCTACCAACGAAGTCAACGAATAACAAGTTAATGAAGGAATTGAAGAAAAATGTTCCACATGCTCGCAGTACAAAATTGTTACCCTTGAAGTATCGACTACCGACGTCGTTAGAACCATTAACGTACACGATATACACCGTTGAGGACAGTGGTGATATGCATATGATGGTCAACGCTCACTTGTAATATTCATTTGGAGGGTCGATGGAGTTGTATGCATTATTTTCTGATGCTGATGATGGTATCAGTGTACCAAGTTGGAGATAAGCGGAGTTTGATTTTGATCCATATGTTGACAGTCTGACGATAAATTTGATAAACAAATTCAATTTGTAAAGCACACATGGTACACAGAATGATTTAGGTCATCATCGTCTTCGATGCTAAGACATTCTTGCATTGCTAGATTTGAGTTTGACTTCAACATGCCACCAACATAACAATCCATATTTAACCTATTCGATGATTTCTTATCTAGACGACATTCAACGTATATCCCTTATGTGGATAATGTCTCAACACATATGGGGATACATTCTTTTACTGGTGTGCGTGACGTTGATCTTGGGGAACCGAATTGTGAGTGATCTCGTAATCGATAAACACATGTAGTAGCAGCTTACTTTGATTTAAATGAGACTAAACTATTCCGCTTTGAGGGGGATAATTCTGAAGAATAACCAATAAGGGAGTCCGACCCCGATGATGATGAGTTAGGCCCCTTCTATGAAGAACCAAAAGACATTGACATGCCAACAAAAACAGAAGAAAACAAAGAATACGGCGCGACTACAACTCTTCCACATGTTGTAACGCTTATTTCTTATTACTAGCCACTATCGCACTTTACAATAATTGATATGGAAGCATTCGACGCTCCGAAATTTTCCCAATTCACACACATTAAGCAATACAATCAACGTAGTGATGGTGATCTCTATGTTTGAATGGTTTTGGGTTAATATAATGTTTTAATTTTTTCATTATTTGTTTTGATTTGTTTATTGGTAAGTTGGCAATTTTATTTACACTTTTTACGAATGAGTTTTAGGACAAAAGAACAAGTTATGGTTGTAATCAAGAACTACAACATACGTCGCTTTGTCATATCAACTGTGAAAAACTGATGTGGATAAGTACATCATTGAATGTCTCCACAAGAAGCAGGAATGTAATTGGAGGGTTTATGTATCACGGTTGAAGACGATGTACAACCTTTGGAAACTCACAAAATACGTCTAACACATACATGCACCGCCAACATCCTGAATCAAGATCATCGTAACTTGTAAGTACACATGCTTTCTGAAGCCTTTATTCCGCTGCTCAAATCAATTCCACGTGTTACGATTGCGACATGTATTGTTTCAGTTATATCGCTATGCGGGTACACAATTGACTACCACAAAGCATGGTATGCAAGGAATCAGACCCAACAAAAATTGTTCGACCAATAGGAGGAATCATACAATGAATTAAGGTCATGGCTTAAACTGATGCAGAAACACATTCCGGGAACAGTTGTGAAATTGAAAATAGCCACAGTGTATGAAAAATGATCGTGTTCTACAAGGTGTCTAACAATTCTACCGGCTCTTTTGGACTTTTCCGCAATGCATTAATTCGTTTTAACACTGCAATCCGTTTGTTCAAATCGACGACACTTGGTTATATGATCGATACACTCAAATAATGTTATTGTTGGTTACACAAGACAACAACAAAAAAACTATTCTTATTGACTTCATAATTGTCGAAAAAGAAGATATCGACTCTTGGGAATTCTTTCTTACGAACTTATAAACATATGTTCTATCACATATGATGCATGATAGAGATAATGAGATTTTTCTTGTTTCTGACAGAGGCGAAGGTATTAAATACGCACTCCAGCGTATGGGTCAGTCTTGTCAACCCTCCAATATTTATCACTAGTACTATTTATGACATATTACCACAAACTATTTGCAGAAGTTCAAGAGTCAATATGAGCATCTAATGGTGCTTCGAATGGGTACGTCTTTCACTTTTTTTTGATTTATTATATCTTTATAAAAAGTTATTTCAAATTAATTGTTTCATTTTTTATTGATAGGTTACACACAATCCATACATGAGTTTGAGGACCTGATGTATGAGCTGAGTCACATGAATTCTGAGGGATTCAACTACCTTACTAGAATCCCAAAGAAGAAATGACTTCGATCATTTGATGGAGGTAGACAGTATGATCACATGACAACGAACTTGGCTGAGGCAATAAATTCATCACTAAAGGGAATGCACCATTTGCCTATCACGTCCGTTGTCAAAGCAACATATTATCGACTGACAACCCTTTTCACAACCTTGGGAAGGAAATCAACTGACTGGATGATAGGTGGCCATCAAATCCACCCAGAACTCCTCAGAAAATTGCAAACATTCCAGTACCATTCCAACACGATGAGTGCCATATGTTTCTCTCTCGAAATCTCATTATTCCGTGTATCATAATTTGCGAGGCCATTAGAAGACATAAAACATAACACATACATGGTTAATTTACAATAAAAAAATATACGAGTGTAAATTCTTCTAAACTTTTAAATACATGTGTGCACACACCATTGTTGTTGCTTCTTCTATTCGTATACCCTACATGAGATTCGTTGATTGGGTTTACTTACTTGAAACTATATTCAAGGTTTATGAATACGAGTTCCCTCCCATTATTAATGAATGAGATCTGGATGAAGCTAATGATGAACCTACAATACGACTAGATTATGCACTACGACGAAAAAATCAGTCGTCCATGATCAACCCGAATTTTTGTGACAAGGATTTGGTCGAACATCAAGAAAGAACCGGAAAATCAAAATTATGCTTTATATGTAATAATCTCGGACACACGAAGAACAAATGTCCCAATCGTTCAAGCCAACGTATCAATTAAAAGGGTTTTTTGCATTATTTATTTTTTAATTAAAGACACATATTATTCATATTTACAAGTAAAAAATAACACTACAATGTGTATATTAAACTATTTTTTTATTATTCCTTGACAAAATCATGATTTCTAAATATTTTCAATGCCATTTTTACCCTGCTTAAAATGTCTTATATAAGTTGATATTATAGTCACCTTAAAGATAAATTGCAATACTACGCGTTTATAATTAAACATTAAAAAAATTAGTTTCCCACCCAAAAATATTATCCGAACAAAGCTATGGACAATAAAGAGTAGGGAATTGAAAGAACCTTACGCTTTGTAGCCTGCGAGATCTCCATAGATCTCGCGATATTTTAGATTATAAATGTTACCTCGCGCATCGCAATGCGTAATGTCATTTTATCTAATTATTTTATTAGTTTTCTTAGAAAATGCATCCACATCATATGTATATAGCGTATTAGAGGGTGTAATGATTTAACACATGATTTACAGGTCACAAGATTATCAAATGTAAACGATTTGAATATTATTATTTCAAGTAATTTTTTTGGAGAGTTTTATTTTTTAAATAATTATTTATTTGAATTTTTTAATATAAAATTCCCCAAACGTAAGGTTCGGTGTCGGGTGATAAGACCAAACCGTGACGAAAAGATAAACACCGTCAAAACGCCGTCACTTTTGATTTTCGCCACACAAAGACAATCATCACTACCACTAAAACCATAGCAGTACTGAGCATGTCAGGCACAGTAAACAATTTCAGCGAGAGCAACAAAAGAAAAAAATGCTTCCAGTTCTGTTAATTCTACTTTTCTAACCAATCATTTCACACTCTACCGCTACCGCGCGAGGAGCCGAATTTCTTCTCGTCGTTGTTAGCAGATGTGTGATCGCTGAGGGATTTGTTCTTCCAATCGTTGGATATTGTGATTGACAAGGTCATGGGAAGTGTATCTTCAGATGATGGCTTTGATCAGCGGAGCGAGCGATGCGGGAGTTATAGTGTGAGTGCTGATGTGAGTGAGTCCGAGAGTTGTAGTAGCTTTTCGTGTCGGCGACTCGATGGAGATGGTTGTTCGAGTTCTATGACCTCATCGCCGAGGTTACCGGCGGCTGGAAGGTTCGGTTTTCAGGTGCCGTTGATGTTACCGGTGATTGGAGGCAAGGATGTGGTAATTTGGGATGATGAGAGTCCTGAGAAACGGGACACCAATTTGTCTGGTATTTCCATTTTCTTTGTTTATTTTGGTATTTTTCCTATGTATGTGACTGAATTGCTTCAACATTTTGGTTAATTATAGGATTAGGCGAGATGTAGATTTATGCTTGGCAAATTTTTGACCGAACTGATTTTACTTGTTTCTATTTGTAGCATTTTTCTTTGTATACGTTGTAGTTGTAATATCTTTTTAGCTATAGTTTCAAATAATATCGTTGTTTGGTGTTTTTGAAAAATTGAGTGAAGAATCTACTTGATTTGTTATTATTCGTTGTTTTTCAATTTTAATCTGAATTTCCTATGATCTTCGATTTTCTGTTTTCGTAATTTTATACAGAAGTTGAGATGATGAAGGAGAGATTTGCAAAGCTTCTTTTAGGAGAAGACATGTCTGGAGGTGGGCATGGAGTGTGTACTGCACTTGCCATTTCGAATGCCATCACAAATCTTACCGGTTGGTGTGATTTTGCTTATGATTTCTTGTTTTGCGTACTTTTTTATATTGGATCAGTTAAATTTTCTTTTAAGCTAATGATACTCTTGTTTGTAATGGCAGCGACCGTCTTTGGTCAGCTCTGGAGGTTAGAGCCGTTAGCACCACAAAAGAAGGCAATGTGGAGGAGAGAAATGGAGTGGCTCTTGTGTGTGAGCAATTCGATTGTTGAACTTGTACCATCAATACAACAATTCCCTGGAGGAGGCACGTATGAAGTCATGGTGACAAGGCCACGTTCATATTTGTATGTAAACCTTCCTGCCCTTAAGAAGCTTGATGCAATGTTGATTACCATACTTGACGGATTTTGTGAGACAGAGTTTTGGTATGTTGATCGGGGGATGGTTTTTGATGATGGTGGTGATTGTGAAGCTTCTCCATCATTTGTTTCTGGAGGGGGGCCCTCAATTAGGCAGGAAGAGAAGTGGTGGTTGCCGTGTCCGAAAGTGCCACCAAATGGCTTGTCAGAGGATGGAAGGAAGAAGTTGCAGCAAAGTAGGGATTGCACAAACCAAATACTGAAGGCAGCCATGGCTATTAATAGCGATGTGCTTGCAGATATGGAGATACCTACTGCATACTTGGAGAACTTACCAAAGGTAATTTGACTTTGTTCATTTATCAAATAATGAAATTTGTGCAGTTTTTCAGAATAACCACGTTAGCTATCGCGCATTGGTTCTCTTCATTGGGGTAATAATCCTTCAATATTAGTAGTTGGTACTTAGCATTGGTCTGAGCATCTCTAACATGAAACCTGTTAGTTAAGGAAGGTGCTCAAATTGAGATTGAAAAGTTAAAAGTAGCTTTGGAAGGGAATGGATATGCATGATTACATTTAACAGGTGGAGGAACGACTCCTTGCGACTGTTATGGTGAAGCAACTGTTTTATGACATTGCTTTTATTGCATGTAATTTTAATGTTAACAAATTTTCTTCGCCATCAGAATGGAAAGGTTTGTCTAGGAGACATCATCTATCGATACATAACAGCTGATCAATTCTCCCCAGAATGTCTCCTTGATTGCCTTGATCTATCAACAGAACATCACACTCTGGAAGTAACTAACAGGATCGATGCTGCCGTGCATGTTTGGAAGCTCAAAGATCAAAGGAAACAAGTTAACGAAATCAAGGCTAAGCGCTCATCATGGGGCGGAAAGGTTAAAGGCCTTGTTGCCGACAGTGAAAAGAATAATTTTTTGGCCCAAAGAGCCGAGACTCTCTTAAATGGCTTAAGGCATCGTTTTCCCGGTCTTCCGCAGACAGCATTGGATATGAGCAAAATTCAATATAATAAGGTATTTTGCATAATTTTTTATGGCGAAAGTAGGTAAATGTCTTCATTCTCCACTATAACCAGATGATTATTCTGGCATGCGTATCTACAAACCACGTGCCCTTATAGATGAGATTTTGGAAGCTCCTTGTTTTAGACTAATAAGCAGAACTGAAAATAGTTCCCCATTATTATGTTTTAATTGCAGGATGTTGGGCAATCGATTCTCGAAAGCTATTCAAGGGTGATGGAGAGTTTGGCCTTCAACATTATGGCAAGAATAGATGATGTCCTTTATGTTGATGATACTATCAAGCGCTGTGCCGAGGAGGAAACAGTTTCCCTTTTCAACAGGAGCAGTTTGAGCGGTCTTCCAATCCAAAAACAAATGTCTCGAAGCCCCTTTTCAATTCAGCACACTCCATATGCCTCTCCTTTCACAACACCCTCCTCTTGTTCTTCGACCCCACACACCGGAAGTCCCAGAAAGGCACGGTCCTCTTTGAAGAGAAACGTTCTTAAGGAGGAATCTGAGGATAAATTTGAGAAGCCATGCTCGACTGAGTTCGAGAGGGTGTAGTCATATACGGGGAGCCTCAGTGCGAGAAGAGTTTCCGAAAATGCTCCCGAGAGAGATTGATATTGAAGATTAATGACCCTATGTGAGATTAAGTTGTATGAATGCAGACAGGTTAAGAGAATTCGCTGGATGTAATCTTGTACATTTCTTACCATTAGGAATATGAGTACGAAAGTTTTGATTTTTTTTCATCTGTTTGAATTTTTAACTTGGAGTCGTGTTAGTCAAGGGAGATAAAATTAATTTCAAAATATATTATCTCATGCGAGATAAAATTAATTTCAAAAGATATTATCTCATGCGAAATAAAATTTCAAAAGATATTTTCATTTCAAAATTCTACTTCAAGAGAAGTATTCTCAAAAAAGAGTAGAACTTTCAAGAGAAAGAAAACTTTAAGCAAGACAAGTTGTTTCGAAAGAAACAATGTTGATGTTTTGGGTTTCAGGTTTCGAAAGAAACTATCTCAAGCGATATAAAATTAATTTCAAAAGAGATTATCTCATGTGAGATAATTTTTTTTTTTTTACTTTTTGAGATAAAATTAACTTGAGAGAGGTAAAACTTGTTTTGTATTTCAAGAGAAACTTTGATAAGCAAAATAAAATTTTACTTCAAGAGAAACAATCTCAAAGGATACAATCGATGTTTGTTGATGACGTTATTCGTTTATGATGAGGACAACTAGCCACATTTGAATGGCTATGCATCTAAAGACAACTTTGTTCCTTCTTGTTGAGGAAATCTGATTGCTTGGAGATAATTTAATGTTGGAAATGACACTAATCATCCACGATGAAGAGAATCTGACCACCTTTGGGGTAATTTGCTCGATGAAAAATCTGGTGCTGACATTGCTTCTTCATGTTGAGGAGGTTTAGTCGGCGGACAACATTGTTCTTGCTTGATGAGGAAATCTAGTCGCATTTGAAGACAACACTGTTCTTTCTTGTTGAGGAAATCTGATTGCCTAGAGATAATTTCGTGTTGAAAACGACATTGTTCATCCACGATGAAGAGAATCTGACCACCTTTGGGGTGATTTGTTCGATATCAAATCTAGTGCTGACGTTTCTCCTTCATGTTGAGGAGGTCTAGTCAGCGGACGACATTGTTCTTACTTGATGAGGAAATCTAATCGCATCTGAAGACAACAATGTTCCTTCTTGTTTAGAAAATCTGATTGTCTGGAGATAATTTGGTGTTGAAAAACATCATTGCTCATCCATAAAGAAGAGAATCTGGCCTCTTATGATGACATTGCCCATTCATGTTGAGGAGGTCCTATTGTCACCAATCCTTCTTTCCCGAAAGACTTTAAAAAAATGTGTACATGTATTAATACAACTATCTTAAGGGTTTTCATGAATGACATTATGAAATTCATTTTTGGTCAGATGTAATTTCAAGAGAAATTTCAAATGTATCCTCATGAGAGGGAAATTAAAGCTTCTTATGTATATGATGATGAATGCTTGATGTAAAGATGTAAATTTATGTAACATGTATGTTTGCTATAGTGGCCCCAGTTCCTGTACTATTTAACATCGGTGGCCAAATCCTTATACTATTTGACACTTAGTTGCGGTGACCAATTTTGTTGGGTTTTACGGAAGTTCGAATCGACAACCGAAATGATTCACCAAGAGGGGTTGGATCGGTTTTTGTGTTTAGGGAGTAAGGAGATTGAAAGATAAAAAATTGCACAACGATTTATAGTGGTTCGACTTCTCAACCAAGTCTGTAACATCTCAAATCAGGGCCAGTGACTAAATTGCAAATTTTAAAACTATGTGCTCGATTTCGAAATAAGTTAAAAGTTCATGGATTTAATTGAAGAAATTTGATGTTGGATTTAATGGTAAAGTTTAGAAATAACAAGGGTATTATGGTCTTTTCTAAGAGAAGATTTTTTTATTCTCTTTTTAAGGGATATAAAAACGTGGGAAAGGAGATAATTTCTCCAGAGTATTCTTCAGTCTTCTTCTTCCTCCTCTCCACCGTGAAGCCTTGTATAAGGTAAGTGGGTCTTCAGTTGGTTAATTCTTTCGTTTTAAAGCTTGTTTTGATTATTGGGATGCTAAGAAAGATTAAGGAAAGCTTTAGGTGGCTTAAAACTCAAAGATTAGCAAGTTATGAGAAATTAAGAAAAATGAGTTTTTAAGTGAATTTTTGAAATAGAAGGAGTTAATAGATTTTGAAGTTTAATTTGACTTGTCAAGGGTTAAATTAAGAGATATGAAGTGATAGAATGGGTTTTAGAACATGTTGGAAATTTAGTGTGATTCTTGAATGCCATGTAAATGATAGAATTTTGAGTTTAAAGAAGTGATTATGGAGTATAAATGAGTTTAAGTATGTGTATGAAAGTTAGGAATATTAAAGGGAGTGAAGTATGAAGTGTTGAGCTGAAAATGAAGTGATTTTCGAGCTAAAAATATGATTTCTGGGCAAGGGGAATCGGTACCCATTCAAGGGGAACCGATACCCCTTCAAACGAACAAAAATTTCCAGAATGTCATAAGGGAATCGATACCCCCATAGTAGGGAACCGATACCCCCTAAAGGAAAATTATGAATATTGGTTTAATAAGTTCGTTTAAGTTGCTAGTATCAAATTACAAGGTGTAGGTATCTAATAATTGTCTTAAAATGTATAATTATGTAGATTCAGAGCCTAATCAAGTTCCGGAATCATTGACAAGTAAGATCAATCAAGGGGAAAGATAAGAGATTGGAATTGACTAGTGAGGCCAGGTGAGTGCATACAAGTTAGTTTATGATGTTTAACGGAAATACGACTTGCGACAAGTCTATTTCCTATATTAGAAGGTCTGAATGTATGATCATATGCATATGTTTGATTTGGGTATATGTGATATATATATATATATATATTATAGTATGTATTAAATGATTTGTGTGAATGCATGCAGTGTGATAAGCTATAGGAATTAATATGAATGATCTATATGATTACATGAGAATGTGAAATAGGTTATATGATAGGTGACCATACATTTTACATAGTAAATGTGATCAATTATAAGAATCAATATAATAGATTTATATGACTATAGGAGAAGGGTGATGAGTTAAATAAGATTAGACTATAGAGTAATATGAGAATAATATATTAGTGAAGGGAATTGAGTATAAATGATGATGCCAAACTATAAGATAAGTGTTATAGAGAAGAAGTATATTTAAAGAGAATTATGGTATATGATTTAAGTAAAATTTAACTAAATAAATAGATTAAACTGGTATAAATGGAAAATGAGATAAGTTTGGTAGCATTTACCTAGGAGATAACATAAGATTATATGAATAAGTAGCATAAATGACATAAGGAAAACTTATGTGTTATATGATTTAAGCATTGAAATGAACAAAAGATATATTCAGGTGAAGTTATTCGGTGATATGAGTATATGCCATTATTATACGGTTTAGATGAAATACTATACATGAATAAATGTGATTGTGTGAAAAATGATAGAAACTATATGAGAATATGTATATGTGAAAGTAATCTATGTGATTATATGTTATATGAATACAAGAACCTGAGATATGTAACATGTGAATTATATGGAAATGATCTACGTGTAAGTGAACTATGTGACTACGTGCCCAGGTAATATGAATATGTGAACATGTGAAATGACATAAATGATAATGCCCATGTTATGTGTCATGAGAGCTAGGGGTATAGTTGGCATGCTAAGAGTCGAGGGTCTACGCGGTCCTTCGGGACATATATATATTCTTTGGAACATGTGTGAAGTCTTGTGAGACACATACTTGATCCCTAGTATATGTATATGATTCTTAAGGAATGATATGTGGTCCTTATGGACATTATTATATGGCACTTCGGTACATTTCTACGCGGCACTACGGTGCAATTCTACATGGCACTTCGGTGCCTTTATACGAGCTGTGGTGACAGCATTAGTGCACAACCTCTATAGACTCACATATCTATAGTTCTCACATGTGTTCATGGGCTAATAAAAATAATAAGATAAATAAACTTGGTATGATTATATGTTTATTTCGTTGTGAACTGATATATGTGCTATGATGTGATAATTAAGGATATTATGGATAAGAGTATAAAATTATAAGGACTAATGTACAAATTGATAATAAAAGAAATGGTTGTACATAAATATGTATGTTTTGATATAATGATATGTGTGTTTCTCGTGACATGGTACAAGTGCATATATATGTTGATGTATATGTAAATGAGCTATATGATTTGATAGCATAAAACAGTCATGCATGATTAGTGGGTATGAATTTCATTATATGTGTGTTTTTTATGCCTCACTAAGTCATCGACTTAGCGTGTGATTGTTTCACACGTAGGTTACAGAAGTGAGAAGATAAGAGAAGAAGAGTAAGACAGGTCAGCACCTCCTTTACAAAATTTCGGATCAGAAATTAGAGGATTTAAATGTTTTTGGTTATTTTGAGTATAGTTGGCATGTACTAATTGGTTGAATTAGTTATGCACTGATTGATTTTGGGTATTGTGGTTAATTTATGTAACTAAACCGCTTTTACTTTAATGAAAGATTTAAATTTTCTTTGAATTTTGTCAAGAGTCAAAGTTTGAAAAGTCAATGTGACACCTCAGACTCGTATCCGGGTTGGGTACAGGTTTGGGGTGTTACAAAGTCTACATCCACTACCTTAGCTCCTCACCAAGGATTTTCTAACAAATTCACTAATTTGTTCTTTCTTTTTCAAGGACAAAGAGATAACCTTTACAACTCCCTAGTTTTTCACGGGTTAAACAAGAACCAATCCCTAGCTTTTAACAGGCTCATCTAGAACCAAAACCCCTTTACAAGGAAAAAATGTAAACAAAAAAACCTCTAAGCTAGGGCAAGAACATAAATATTTACAAGAGAAAGATGAAATAAGAATGAAAAATTCTTCTCTTGTGTTTGATTGCTTGGATATTTGTTCTCTTACTTATTCAATTGTCCTCAGCTTGTTTTTATAGCTTGGAATGAGTTTGATATCATATCTAGACATTGGGAATGTTTTGGAGCCATTGGGGATTCATTTTCTGCAAAATAAAACTGCTCAGAACAAGTAGTATCGGTACCCCTTCAATGGGTATTGATACCCCTTTGTAATATTTGAATTTTATGACCGTTGGGCTTGAAATTACTGTAGCAATATCGG